AGGCTAACCGAGACTTGTCATTTGCACTTATATATTGTTGCTCTTTTGTTAGTTTTGACTGCTTTTATTGTCCTCATTTGTAAGTCGCTTTGGATAAAAGCGTCTGCTAAATGACTAAATGTAAATGTAATATATATATATATATATATATATATAATTTGTTTTACCTGCATGTCATGTGACCATTAACCAACGTCACAGAACTGTGAACATGCAAAAGTGTTACTGAATTATTCATTTATTACCTTAAAATCTTAGGGGGGACTTCAAATAAATATATTAGGTGAAAGAGATTCAGCTGACAAAAAAAAAAAAGTTTGGGAATCCCTGCATTACATGTAAATAAGAAATAATGTGAATTTGTGCATTTTAATGTGTTTGAAAGAAAAAAAACTTTCTGAGTGTACATAAGCGGTAGGCTATTTTAGAAAGGAACATTTAAAAGATTTTAAAAAAAGGAATTAGGGAGAATCAATAATTTATCGCTGTTGTGTGAATATAGGTAGCCTATGTAATCATGTAATCAATAAAAAATACGTCCCGGGTTTGTACTTCCCCAAAGTGGTCACTCATTTTTGGTTTGTTTTTTAGAGGCCGTGCGTGTTTCTCTTGTGGGATCTGGCAACACATACATTTAAATGTTACTGTTACCTTTAACATGTTTACCATCTACATCCATGAACCAGTGCATTACATTTTACTTTACATTTGAGCTAACTATGTCTTCATTCGTCATAAGAAGGCTTGTGTAATTCTTAACCCACCAGCTAATTTTCTCTTGGATTTGTTTCAGTATTAATCCACATTGAACAATTAATTGTGCTGTAATGTGAGATATAACAAAATGTACAATCGTTATAAATCATACATGATATGTACTGCAACGAAGCCATTTGTTTCAGTGACTACTCGCTGTAAAAGCAAGGCCTAGAATGACTGGCTGAATTATACCAATTGGCACAGGGGGTGCTCGGTTTTTACCGTCTTTAACTTACACAAATCTCGCTCATTTGGGATATATAAACTAAATTCTTTTTTAAAAACACACTGATCTAATATTTCACTCGTAAATAATGTTTAATATGTTGTCCTTTATCAATGAGAAAAATACATATATTTTTGCCTCTGACACCTATTTTGAAATAATGGAACGCTCTAGTCCAAGTTGAAGTTGAAATTTCAACGGCAGGCTGTAATGGAGAGAGCTTAAGTCTGTTCAGTGCGTGTGTCGCTATATGACGGACTAGCATGCTGTGCAGGGTCGGATATGTCCGCAGGTAAAGATAAAGTCTGAATCAGCTCTCAAATTGTATGCAGCTAACTGTATAACCAGGCATTTTTAATCATTAAATCAATGGCGGTATGAATAAAGTGCGTACTTTTATGTGTTTGGTTGTGACCAGGCTAACAGCATCAGACTATAATAGTTTGCGTAACTGATATTGCGAGTGCCGTTTTAATCAGTGGTGTGGAAAATCGATTTTATAGATGTGTATGTGTTGATTTAGAGTTTTGTACATGAAATTACATTGAGCCTGCCAAACAATAGCTTAGCTTGTTTTAAATATCAAATCCATTAATAAATGTGTACAGCTAGATTCTATTTGAATTAACCATACAAACCTGTTGGGACCATAATAATAATAATAATAATAATAAACTTTATCAGAAGACACTCAATCAAATCAGCCTCACTGTAGCTTTGTTGGAAACAGGCCTACTATAAAATCATACTTACATTGGCACACAGTCAGTTTTATTCTATATATATATATATATGTAAAGACACCTAAAATATTTTATTTTTAACCTCTTAAGTAACCTCTTTTATTGTGTGAGGGAAATGTTTGTTTTTTTTAAACGGCCCTATAAAAATCCCTGGACCCCAGTTTGAAAACCTCTGTTCTGGTCACCTGACTGCTGCCATGTAGCAACAATCCTGTGTGAGCTCACCACAGTAATCCAACATATCTTGCAACATATCCAAAATCTTGCATTACTTTTATTGCAGTGCTTATTTACTTAATATATTAAATTATTTAATAGTTTTTATTTCATTGTTGTTGATTCCAGGTGTGCTGCCACCTTGAACCCCATCTTGGGTGCTGTGGCCTCCAGACAGAAGCACACACTGCCTGACCTCCCATATGACTATGGTGCACTTGAGCCTCACATCTGTGCTGAGATTATGCAGCTTCACCACAGCAAGCACCATGCAACATATGTCAACAACCTCAATGTCACTGAGGAGAAATATCAAGAGGCACTGGCCAAGGGTGAGTACAAATGAGATTGCTTTTAAAATGATTGAGCCTGGTGCACACTCCACATTATAATTTTATTTATTTATTTATAATTTTTTTGCTGTCCTTCACGATTGTTGTCAGACAGGACAGTGGGATTCTAGGTAAAAATTAGACTTCCCAACACCAACAAACATCTTAGGACTTAGGTCTGGCTGGTCAATCACTTCACACTATGACACCTTCATTAATGTTCCATAATGAAATGGTACTGCACAAATTCAAGCAAACTTATCCACTATTCTTAGGGATATTTTGCCTGGAAAAGAAAAACAAGACTAAGTCAAGTCTGTTGTAGCTGGACAAAAAATATTTGATAGGAGAATCATAACATGAAGGGAATGCTAGTACACTTTTAAGTGAACCTCTTTTACATACACTAAAACATGGTTATGCATCTGTTGGTTCTTCAGTTGACAGCCATTGTTGGAAAAGTGGTGAGCATATCATACAAATCAGTCAAAGACTGTTGCTTTTGTTTTTGATGATCAGACTAAAGCTCAGTCTGATCAAATTCTTTCATATCAGTTTTGTTATTGTTAACTAAACTATTAAAATGATTTTCATTAATTGAAATAAAGCTAAAATCAAATAAAATATAAATTTCAGATGACAAACGTAGATTTATAAAAACTTCAACAAAAATGAGAAATGTTGCCTGTCAGCTAACTGAAATAAAATACGGTAAGGTACGAAAATAAACTAAAAATGAATTAAATAACTAGGAACATTTAAAAAAAATTATAAAAATAACAAAATTACTAAAACTTAAAACTGAAAGGATAAAAATATAAGCTAATTCAAAATGTTAAATACTAGATTAGTATATAAATAATACTAAAATACATTGTTTCATACACCTCATTCTCTCAATCACTTATAATGTAGGCCAGTATACGTTTGATAATTGGTTCAGTATATAAATGTTAGTTTACTTTTACTACATTCTAAGGACTTGGCATATTATCTGAAATGTCTTCATTGCATATAACAAGTATTTAGGTTTGACCTTGCTATGTTACAGGTGATGTGACAACTCAAGTCTCCCTTCAGCCTGCTTTGAAATTTAACGGTGGTGGCCATATTAATCATACCATATTCTGGACAAATCTGTCACCAAATG